CTGCTGTTACTGCTGCTGCTGCTGCTGCTCCAGTCCACAGGTTTTAAATACCTCCCCGTCTCCGTCACCTGTGCAGACAGAACATCCCCCAGAGGAACTCTGCTGTTGATCCAGGATCATGATTTAGTTTCCATCACAGACATAATTTACAATTAGATGCATCAGGAAATATTCCCATAAACTCAGATTAATGGCCCAAAAGCACAAAGTCAGGAAAAAAAAAAAATGTTTTTAATACCATTTTAAAAGTGAAGGTTTGTTGTTGTCCCTCGGGAGTTAAACACCGTTTTACTGCGTCTCACGTGTGCTTTAAAAACAACAGTCAAACGTACAACAATGTTTCCATTTGTTTATGGTTTTTGGAACCTAATCTTGAACACGTGTTTTTAAAAAAAAAAAATTTTAATGCACATGTATAAAATGGCCTTCCACTGGACGACAGCCGCAATATTTCCTGCTCAAACCTGGACACAATTACACACAAACGATGGCGCGAGTCCAGAACGTTTGATGGGCTCTCTCTCTCTCGCTCTCTCTCTCTCTCTCTCTCCGCGACCAGTAAATGAATCAGCGTGAAGTGGAGAAGTCAGAGGAGCTTCATCTGGCTGCGCTCGACTTCACGGCTGCAGTGATTTAATCGCAGCCCCGTTAGCGTTCACGTGCCGGCGGCCAGACGTTGATTTGAGCCGAGGTTTAGCAGATGTAAGACTTCCTCTGCTGCTACTGAACAACACGTTTGAGACACGTCACACACACACACACATGCTGCTGCTGTGTGTGTGGTTTCTCCTATAGCCCTTTAAGGTCTCTCCTCAGACAGCAGGGGGCGCTGCTGAGGAAATAAATCATGTGGACGATGTGAACGTCTTCACATCGTCTCAGTTTTTCACTCTTCAAAACAAACGGGATCTTCTCCTCGTTCACTCCACGGTCCCTCTGTGGCTCTGTTGGACATAACAGCCATAATTCCTGGTTTTAAACCCCCTACGGCGCCCACTAATGTTCATGCAAGGAAAGGACACAGAGAGTCTTGAGCCCTGAGAGTCTTTGAACCGAGGGATTCTCAGGATCATAAACAAAGACAAAAAAAATGTTGATCTTGATTTGATGAAGAGTGAGATGAAGAAAACACGGTTCAGTTCAGTGTTGGTCATTTTCCAAACTCTGTCTTTTTTCAGAACTCACTCCTCATCGAAGTCCCACAGTACCGTAACCAAAGGATCTCCACGCCCGTCCACGTCAACTTCTACGTCTGCAACGGCAAAAGGAAACGGAGCCAGTGTCAGCATTTCACCTACGTCCCTGCCAGCGGTAAAGACTCTTCTCCTCACTACTGTGATGAGGTGTGGTCCACACACACCTACGCTAATCCACGCACCACGAGCTAACACACACACCCGTACACCCGCTACCAACGACTAACTAGTGTCAACAAACCAACAGTTGGTGTTTCAAACGTTTGTTCCCAGCAGCAGGAACTCTCTGTTCCTCTCATCGGTTCTGGTTCTAATGAGGAACAAACTCTTTCTGGTCCCTGTTGTCTGGTGGGTTCTCCAAGAACCAAAGAAAAGGAACCGTGAACTGTGGAACTCTGTGTGTGTACCTGTAGCTACATGAGAACAGCAGTGACACATAGAGGTGGCTGGAGGGAAGACGGTGGTGGAGGGGGAGGGGGGAGGAGAAGGAGGGGGGGGTCATGGGAAAAGCATGTTATTTGAACAGAGAACCCCGTTACAAAACTAAATATAAACATTGACCCACAAAGTGAAATGTTGAAAACCACCACTAATTGCCCTCTGGGCTCGCAGTGAAAACCCAGTGGGTGGTTCAAAGCTGGGTTCCAACTGGACCGGCCCAGCCCTGTACGTAGGCGACGGAGAGTGCCCACTGTGAAAGTGGAGCATTGTTCTAGAGACGAGGGGGGGGGCGGACGAGGGGACAGTGAGTCTGGTCAGTGTCTCTCCCACAGGGTGAGGATGAGCATCAGGGAGGCAGCGGCCCAGCGGGGTGAGGAGTCAGAAGTTTAACTCCAGTTTTATGTTGGGGAAAAAAAAATCTTTAATTGGGGAAACAGTGGAGCGCTCCCGACCTCCAACAGAGGTCAGTGTTTCCTGTTACTGCTGCAACCACGTCAGACTTGTTTTGGAAAAAAATACATTCCAGGTTGAGTTGATTCAGGAAGTCAGAGATCTGTGACTGATCTAGACTAACGTCAGGTCAGAGACGGTTCTGAGAGGACGTCGGACGTCTGATCGTCCAATCACAGAGCAGGTTTCACCCAAAACAAAAACAAAAAAAACTGGTCCAGATTGAGTTGGAATTTGGGTCAAACAAAAATGTTGCATGTGTTACTTAAGATGGGAAGTTGAAAAGTAGTGAAGGATGTCGTTGACACCGGGTCACGACCTCACGACCCGCGTCCTAACAGAACCAAAACTTTTGTTTTCATCTCAAAATCTTTTCATTTTAGTTTTCTAAAATGAAAAGTTTTCTTTCTAGTTTTCTTTCTTTAAGTTTTCGATCCAAAAGTTACAGCCCGAGTCTTGACAAAGTTAGAATGAAAAAAACAAAACAAAACAAGATTTGTCTCAACAATCATCAGCCTGTCGTCTTCACACGTGGTTAAAAAAAAAAAAAGAAACAGGATTTTTTTCCTCTCTCTCTTTCTCTGTGTCTGTGGATAGACAAACATTTGC